GGGGTATGGAGGAGGTTACGAAACGTTTGGGTGCTGTCGGTGCTGCTCGCCTTCCAGGATGGGGACTGTGAGATGCCCACTGTGCCTCGTTAGAGACGCTGCAAGTTTTGGGCGCTAGTCGATGCTAATGGCGTTCTTGTTGTCAGTTACTATCCAGACTCCCTGAATGCATATTTGGAGGTGTATGCACCTCGGAATGATTGTAGCAAGCTAGCACTAAGTCCATTCCCCGTCCACGTTTACTCTTTTTTTTACAATGAGGCTTCCAAATAAATCATGGCTGTACGGCAGTGAAGTATCGGTGTTGAACACTGATGTCATGCTATCGAAAATGTTGATCATGTCTGAATGAGTAAGTATGTGTCTTCCCACTGAAAGCTATAGGCACATGAGTAGAGGAAATAAGACCGCGTGAACATATTCCTCGGCAGTAACGACAATAAAGTAAGGTAGTGAGAACGTGGTTGTAGGTTATTAATCGGCGAAGGGGCATCGACGAGGTCCGCAGTTTTACGTTGCATTGAACTGAGAGGGTATCGCATGTGGCAGCTGGATTCTATGCTGGAGCAAATTTGGGCATGGGGTGGAAAAGGAAAAAAAGAAAACCAATTGTCGTAGTTGGTCGGGTCGTGAGGACCCTGACATGCGAGAACCGGGATAAGTTCTCAGCGAGGAGTGTGGAATGGCAGCAGATTCCGTCAAAGTATTTTTCTCAAGAGTGGATTTGAGAAGAGTTGTGCATACATGGAGGGGCCTGGAAGAATTGCTGAATTCGACAAACCCCAATCAGCGAGACTGGTAAGTTGGTTTTCAGCACATCCCACGGTCGGAGTAGGACGAAGAGCAACGCACATTGGTATTGTCTTCAAAGGCACAGATAGGAGGGACAGTTATGGCGAAAGGGTCGTTCACATAAACGAGTAGACTAGAGCGCACATCCATATGGAATTCCATTGCTGGTTCTCTGAGTCTCTCTGATAATGCCATCCACTCTTACACGGAACGATTATGCAGGAAACGCTCATTCCAGGTGTTTAGGTCTGGATATAGTCCCCTATATGGAAGGCTGGGCAAGGAGGTCCGCATGCCTTCGGTATATCACGGCAACCAAATTAGTTACCCCAGAAGAGTCCAGAGAAGGTCAGGCGTGTGGCACATAAACCAAAGTATTATTCGTGGTTCGGTGGCACCTGAACCCATATTAGTGAGCACTAAAAAGGACGGGGGTTTTGGTCAAAATTGCTGCAGGAACTGTGGATAAAATATGGGATAATGGAGACAATCGTTCAGCTGCAACACCCGTTCTGTGCCTAACTTTCATGCCACCCGAAGGAAACACAAGGACTGGAATACTGTCAGGTTGCCCAAACCTATAATTAATGAGAGGTCGAAAGGCAGGGTTCGGGTTCGAACCACAGACCTTCCGGTCAGTAAGTCCGTTCCCTAACTACCGGACTATCTCGCTTCTAATGGAGCTAGTCCGGTAGTTGTTGGTTTCAGAGCAGAGGCCACTTTTGGGATGGTGAGGATACCTGTAGTTCTGATTTAGAGACTTGTCGAGAAATGACGGCCCTCCTATCACCACAAAGGATTCCGGTAATGTCCTAATCCTCTTTCATATGTCTTTCATTCAGTCCACTAATTTTTGTCTGAACCAGAGTGAACATATTCTGCAACAGGGAAAGCGCATTTCAGACGACTGGGGCCATTAATTTCGAAAAAAGGGCACAAGAGACGACTAGTTCAACTACAGAGATATGAGCCTTGCCCTCTCACGTAAGACAGATTCTCAAGCATCAAGAAGGATGCACATCCAACGTCTTCGAATGCTTGTTTAGCCCCATCATATCGTCAGTCAGCGATCGTCGTCGACTTCAAGGGAACCCTTGGATCCTCAGACAGTTTAGTTCCATACATACATATATATTAGCATCCTTATACGTACTAATGGGGGGCGAGATGGCCCAAGTGGTTAGAGCGCGAATTCACTGACCAAAAGGTCGGTCGTTCGAACCCGACCTCTGCGTCTCAACTTCCCCTGTCTAGGCTTGGGCGACCTGGCAGTATCCCAACCCTCGTGCTTCCTTTGGGTGGTGGCATGGCAGTTAGGCACCGAAAGGGTGCTACAGGTGAACAATTTAATGAGCAACTGAGTACAGGATGTAGTCGTTGTAGCAGAATTATTTTCAAATATCACCGATCGACCACTGGGACGGAAAAGTTCATATCTATAGACGACACAAATTACACAAGATTGCTGGACGACCTTAGGCTGTGGCAACAATAAAATTGGTGAAATAATACATTTCCGCACTTCAGAATCCTTCAAGACCTCGATCTGAAAGAATCGTGACAGCGTCTCTATACCTCAGCAGCGGAAGCGTTGGTTTGGTCAGTCGATGAAAAACCCCGTGTGTGGGTGCATTGCGGCTGGTAGAAGACACCGTCATTAATTATCCTTCGAGTTGTTTGGGTGTATTTACAAAAAGAGCTCTGGTTTCTGGTGTAGGGTAGATTTTTGAGAACGTTTAAATTTGCACACCACGGCTGCTTAGGCTCCACAAAAGGCGTAAGACTTTGTTAGTATCGAACGTGCAACAGGTGTCGTTTTTCGCGTAATATTTACCACGTTGGTGGTGGAATTGATGTAAACTTTTGTTTTCAGGATGACGCGGAAGTGGTTCGGTCACAACTACTCAAAGTTCGTGGAGTGGTTAGCATCACATTTCAGTTGCAAAAGCATCGTGTCATTGTTTGTACCGTTCCCCAACTGGATCCAGAATGTCTAGTTCGTGCTGTGCGTGCCGCCCAACGCCACCAACCCTCGTCTACCGATTCCCCTTTGGATCATCCTCATCCAGCGGTAGATGAGATCAAAGCGCGGATTGTGCGGAAACGTACCGTCATGTGAGTGTTGTTTGTTTACATAACCATCTATCACTTGAAGTTTCCTGGACGTAGATGACCTTTGTGTCATTCTCGACACACATCTGTCCTTTTATCAACATCACCAATACGCACTTTTATTAAACCGAAACAGTTCAACGAACGAGACCACAGCAGCCTAAGAATACTAAGTTGTAAATCTGGCCCATATGGCTCTTACTAAAGTTGTCTTGTATACTCGTACAGAGGAACCAAGCAGGTGAAGCCAGCCTAGTCTGTTTCATCCTTTTTGGGGATCATCATCATCAAAGTAGTTTTAAAACTGCAACATCCCGGCTGGGGATTTGAACGCTTAACTGTTTAGCCATGAGCGGCTGAACAGCAATGTGATAAGCTCTTACATAGACTGGATATAGCGCCGCGCATCCTTCCATCACCGGATCCACATCACGCGGTCACACGTGTTGGCTGGCTGCTGGAGTGAACGACCTCTCATATGGAAGTTTCGTCACTCGATGAGCCATTCAACACATAACCGCGTGAGGTGGATGGTTTCTAATAAGGATGAAACAGCTATACTTTGTCTCTTGGCTTTTCGGTACAGGTTGGCTTGGGAGCGACATGGATCAAGTGGTCAGAGCGCGAAGTTACCGGAAGGTCCCTGATTCGAATCCGACCTCTGCGTCTCGACTTCCCCTGTCTAGGCTTGGGCGACCTGGCAGTATCCCAACCCACGTGCTTCCTTTGGGTGGTGGCATGGCAGCTAGGCATCGAAAGGGTATTTTGCGATTTTTTTTACGGATTAGTTTCACTTGCAGGATAAAATGTCAATTGGAAATTACTAAATCTCATACTACTACAGAATTTAGTCGTTTCAAGCAGTTGGTCCTAAGGGAAGGGGAGTAATATTTAGCATGTTTTGCTGAACGGTAGTGCAACTCTATCAGTCCCTTGGCCTCCTGCTCCGACCACTATGGTATATCAAAAGGCACGATAGCTCTACACAGCCCTTTATGGAGACAAAGGAAAATTATTACGGCTGTATTCAGAGTAATCACAGGTCATGCTAGAATCTTCGTGAAGGGGCGAGAAGCGTTGAGTCAAGGTGCTCGATCCGGATTGGCTGGCATTCTGGCCAATCAGGATATGCCTTTGTGTTCTGCACGTGACACATCCGTCCAAATGACGTGATGTTCGGTCGTTAGGGACGCCTCCGGACCCATCCACACCATTTTATAGCTGTACTGTGAACTGAACTAGTCTTACAAAAGCAAGGCACCTCGCTATGCAGAGTCTCACCTGAAAACCGTTAACTATCCTGTCTTTTGATTTGGTTTGATTCTGCATCATAAACAGATCATTGGTGCTTCTGAACCTGGAGTGGTACCGTCAAACATGGTTGACTCACACATCAGTTATGCCCCCGCGGTGATGTGCCGCGGCCCAAATTCGATGATGATGGCACTTACGGTGGAGGGCGAAATGATCCATTTGGTTAGAGCGCGAATTTACTGACCGGAAGGTCCGTGGTTCGAACCCGACCTCTCCCACTCGACTTCCCCTGTCTAGGCTTGGGCAACCTGACAGTATCCCAGCCCTCGTGCAACCTTCGGGTGGCACGGCAGCTAGGCACCAAAAGGGTGCTACAGCTGAAAGAAGAGTTTACGGTGAATATGTTATGCTGGCTTCCCGGGACCGAAATTTGGAGAATACGCACTTTTCCCATACAAGCAAAACGAGCATAAACCAATACGTATCCTCATGTGTTCAGCCATGTCGATTCCTACTTTGTTTCGGTATTCGTAGCATTCACTCATCCTAGGATTCGGGCTTTGTGGTATAGTTTTTCACAGGTGATCGGTTTCGACACTCGCTAGTTGGCTTCATACTGAAAAGCGTCGTACTGTTGCTTAACCTGGAATTCATATCCCATAGTCTCGAGGGACTCGAACCTGCGGTCGTTCGTCTACCAGTGGCTAGTCGGCAGTATGGTTAACTTACACTTAGAAAGGATAGAATGCTAGCCATCCTTTAATAGCGCGGTTTACTTCACATGATCGAGTTTCGATTAAAGTTTCCTCTTCACTGGAGTGGTGTTCTACCCGATGGGTTTGAATCACATTCGAGATTCATGGGAGCAGCAGTGCTGACCAGAATTGACGGACAGGAGCCTATTGACCATATTTTGCTTTTCTTTGTTTCGTTTTTTTCGAGAGCCACTAAATCATGGTACATGAACACCCATTCTATTTTACTGTCCCATCAGCCATCGATCGGATTCAGTGACGAGGACCAAAACACCGTCCACGAAATGTTCCGATCCCAAGCTCACTGCACCCGTCCCACTACCACCCTATTTGGAGGAGACAGCAGATCTTTTCGAGGTGGACGAGAGCAGAGCAGCTCCGAAAATCAAGAACCGCATGTCTATCAGTGGGAACGACCCGCGTTCCAGCGGACCGCTGGACTGGCTGTCGGATTTTCTGGAGCGATCATTCTTCTGGTGAACGTGCATGCATGAATCGAACAAGATTTATTTTTGTACTTGTAGATTTGACCGGTGAATAAATTATAAACGAACACTTGTGGCCACATCTGGAATCTATACAACCATACTTCCTAAAACATCCGCTTCGGGACACTGTGCTAGAAGCGTCTCTAGGGTTGCGAAAGCGCCCGGGGACGTAAAACTTGTCTCCTCAGAAAAGACAGCGTTAAGTAACATCAGGGAGCGTACCTCAGTGTGGTTGAAGAACATTCAAAACTCTGCCCTCTGTTTGCTTCCTAAATGATAGGGCTCTCATTTGATCAGCAATTACCAAGGCATTCATGGTGTCACCGCTACCGGTGTAACGGTGGATACTACTGAGTAGTACGTGATTTTCCCATAAATCCTATTCGCGTCTATTGAAAAGTGGAGTTTATTACGGAACTTGTGGAGTCGCTTTGTAGCATTCGTTTACGTTTCAGTGATAGTCAATGAGTATCCAAGAAAGTTCAAGAAGACGCGTTCGAGAAAGCGACGGATACACAGTTTTTTATAAACAAGGTGTATATGAGAGTCTTGCTTTCCTGTCTAATAGTCTGCAATTGTTCAGTTGGTGTTCTCCAACAAATCACTCCGCAGCAAAGGCCTTCTTCCTTTCACCAACACCCTCAAACCGCTTATAGCTACGTCAGGTACATCCACGTCCATACTCTCTAATCCAAACGAGCGATCACCATCGTTTGACAAACCCTTTTCGGGAACGTTTGACGCCGATCATTCTAGAAAACATTGGCACAGCGTCATTCAGCCGAGGAGCACTTTCTAGTAGGATCGAAAGAATACGATTGCGGATATCACATCTAGGACGTATCATATATATACAGACGATTGCTTAAGAAACATCCCAAAAAAGGAAATTATTTTGTAAATTCCTAATTTATTACATCAAGGGGGGGGCGAGATGGCTCAGTTAGGCACCAGAAGTGTACTACAGCTGAACGACACCCAACCGATGACGGGAAATCTTCGTATTCACCCAGTCGCCTTCATTCTTTGAACTCGGCTGCCTCGTTTCATCTTTGTTGTTGGTCACGAACCATGACGAACAGAGCGATCGTATGAAACAGACAAACGGCGCAGTCAGTCTCTCGTGGTGGTGTATTCCTTTGATATAAGACTCAGATGCATTTATTCCAATAGTAACCAACCGTTGAAGTATGTATCTTGTTCCTGATCGGCATTTCAGGATTGTTCTACTGGGGCGTTCATTCATAGTAATATGCCAGTATCTACCATGAAGACGGACGACTCTTTTGAATTCCTTAAATTCGGTTTTTGA